TGCGAATTCTCAAATAAATAAGAACTCTCTAACTACTAACATAATTACAAGATATAAATAACTTACAGTAACCCAACCAGAAGAAGAATTTGAAAACTACGGCGGGAGCTTCGTACCCGAACGCTCCAATGACATACATAATCTGCAAGTAGATGTGATTAAAAGTTTGAAAAATCGATAAAATAAAATAGGGGATAATGTTAAAAACACTTACGAAAAATGGAAGCCATGAAAGTATAAATGCTGAAAGAATAATTCCAAGAAGTAGAGTGGCTTGTCTCTCTTTTGCTTTCAATTTTCTTCTGCGGCGTTCAGCAGCCAATTCTTTTTCGCCTTTTGGAATGGTTGGTTTCCTTACATCGAAAGCATTCTGTAAGAAGAGAAACGGTATCTAAAATAGTCATGTTTCCAATGACACCAACATAGACGAAAATAGGCTCACCAGAAATCGTTGAGTTGCGCTGATTTTTTTGAGCTTCACCTTGGGTAGTTCTTCCGATATTTTTCTTAATTGCCAACAGACTTGATTGATTGCTGCCTGAAAGAATCTAATCGATATGTGAACTGCATCGAGAAATAAAGTAAATTACCCTATTATTGCAGATATCTTTTTCGTCAGGATCCGAAGTATCTTCCAGTAGTTCCAGCTCCACCAACTGTTTCGCTGTAAAGAAAGAAGATTCACTAATTTTTTGCCTTTCCAAGCAACTTTACTGTTGAACAATAAGGTGAAAGTGCAAGAAAAAATTAAAGAAAAGAACGAACATATTTGTACTGATATGTCACATTCTCAAATGTCAATGGCACAACGTGCTCACATTGCGCGTCATATCCTGGATTTCTTTATGCTCGATAATACTTCTCTTCCGAGTAAATGCTTAGTAGCGTCAAACTCGTAATTTTCATTTTTTCCTGGCAACAAGACAAACGTCGAGGGAGTATTTTTTACCACATGTGTAATGAACAAGGAATCAAGACGGGGGGCGCATTACATATGTGCTTTGTATGCAATCGCACATATTGTTAAGAAACGAATACACGTATGCACCCACATTTTCAAAAAAGGG